TCTTTACTGTAAGGGTGGTAAAGCACTGGAATGGGTTGCCCAGGGAGGTTGTGAATGCTCCATCCCCGGTGGTGGTCAAGGGCAGGTTGGACAGAGCCTTCAGTTAGGTGGTTTAGTGTGAGGTGTCCCTGCCTATGGGTTGGAACTTGATGATCTTAAGGTCCTTTCCAACCCTAAGTATTCTATGATTGTTATCCTACAGTTCCTTTGACTTTTGCAAAATTATGGTGATCCTTGGACAGGAGGAAAATATTTCCACGTTGAGGAAAGCAAGGAAGGAGGAGGTTTCTTCCCAGTGTGAGGTCAGAAACAAGTAGAGAAAGCATCTTTATACTAAGACGAAAAATGTTTCCTATTGGAACTTTAGGCACAATTATCCCTTTATAATTTATGCATGTTGAAAAGAAAAAACAATAGTTTTAGCTAAAAGTCCTGTCATCATTCTAAATATGGTGAGTTAATGATGACCCCCGAGGTAACTGAATGGAAGAAAAGTGCTACCTTTCCCTTCTGGATCAAGCTTTGTTGACAAAGGCCAATGCATATGACACAGACATGTTGTTCTAACCTGACATCACAACAAAAGAGACAAAAAGTGACAGGTCCTTCTTATGGTAATCCATATGTTCACCATGAAAAGTCTTGGAGACCAGACTTTTCACAGGGATGGAACAGGGATGCCCGCAGCCTTTGAATTACTCCCCAGCTTGTTGCTCGCTGCTTATCATGGTTCTTCTTGTGTTGTACCCTGTGTGGGAGGAGGACTGCATGTCACTGCGCTTGGGCTCAGGCTATGGCAAGGGAAGAATGCTGCCAGGGGTATCTGCCCTCTGCCTTGGCTTTTGGGCTGCGAAGTGTAGCTAAGTCGAACGTGAGTAGGTCTCTTGACTTAACTGCCACCCTGTTTCCTGAAACAATAATCACAGTGCAGCCTTCACAAAAAGTAAGGTTTTGCACTGAAGAAAGCAGAACCCAGAGCAGCCTTGAGCATTCCTGTGGCCTTGTAGGTGTAACAGGTATACAGGTATAGGTGACTTTGTTTCCTCTTACCTTTTAGAAATTCCTTGCTGGGGCTTCAGCCAAGGGTTGTCTGTTGGCTCCTGCAGTGTGCAGGAGCTGCTAAATCCCAGCTTTTGATACAGATCAGTCCAGAGTCCTGCCGAGAATTCCCACTCTAGCCATCTAAAAGAGGGAAGAATGATCACAGATTGATAAAGTCCCTAGGAGAGGTAGGTCAGGTTGGAATTACAGTGCGAATGAATCTGTATGAATGGTAGTCCTTCAGAGCTGGGCATTGAGGTCCTTCTTTGTTACTGCTGCTAATGACCCTGACTTTGGCCAGCATGGCGGGCTCATGCCAGATGTTATGACCAAGAAAAAAACATGGTTGATTGTATTGAAGGCTTTAAGCTTAGGGAATGCCCTGGAGTCCAGAGGACCTAAGGTGCTCCAGTTTTAGTGGGATTCATTTCTTGATTGGTGTGAGGAGGCCACAAAAGAAAAACAGAATCCCAAACCAGAAGTCTGAGAGACTCCCAGGGAGGGGGAACAAATGGATCAAGTAGAGTGTGTGTGAGCCAGAGATTTCTCCTCAAAGTAAATCTGCATTTCCGCTTGCCCCTTTTATCCACAGGCAGAAGAGGTAGGCTCTCCCTGGCCAGGCTGAAAACACATCAGGGCTAGCACCTCTGAGCTGATTTTACTTTTATAGTGCTGCTCCCCTGTCACACGGAGCAAAACCAACCCCTGGCTTGTTTTGGCAGATGAATTCCCAGTCATTCACAAGAAAAAGCAGGAGCATCCCCGTGGCTGGGGCTGGCCTGTCTGCTGGGGGCGACTCTGCACAGCTGTCCTTCTGCTCCTCCCACCCCACATATCTCCCCGAGGATGGGAATTTTTTAGTGCAATAAATGCCTTTAACACCTTAGGGGATGAAAGCCTCTAAAGATTATCTGTAACACAGTGAAAACAGTGCCTGAAGCCCTATTCTTATCCTGGGCTATGTGTTATCAGGCTTCTAAAAAAAAAAATGAGTGTTTTAATTTTTGGGCATGTCTTCAACTTAACTAATGGGGAGAATTAAAAAAATCTCACCTTGTATTTGTTTGTCTTCATCTCTTCTGAATCTCCTATTAAGACCAAGGCATTAGACCTTAGTTGACGTAACTTTGCTATTTAGCGTGAGTATGACTCAGCATTAAAAACACTACTGCACATGCTTAATAGAAACCCATCTGCAAGTAAGGCCCTGCCCTCCTGCTAGGGCCTCATATGCAATAAGTTAGAACGCAGGTACATAGGCAGCCTTTCATCTGCTTGCATCTGCTTATAAGCAGGGACATCCCTATTGGCAAAATATAATAATTTGAACGAAGAACCAAGCATGTAGCTCACAGGCATTAGCAGTTAATCAATAACACTAAGCTAAAAGGTAAACAGCTGTAAGAATCCTGATTAATACCAATCTATAGACTATCATTTTAGCCCTAACCAAGTACACAATAGGATAAGAAAACCGCAAGTTATGTAACTTACCAAATTGTACGAATGTATGCTTTAGATAAAATTGTATCAAGAAGAAAAGTAGGTATGAAAGAACCCCTAAGATGTACTGCTCTTTGGACACGTGTATGGAGGTTTGAACCCCCATGTGCTCCCAGCACCAAGAACGGTTTGTGCTTTGCTTTACAGTATGCACTGTGGTGTGATTTCTTTGAATCAAACATGAGCATGTTTCCCTCACAAGCTGTTTTTCCTCATCCTGTGTTGTGATATCTGGACATGGGCTAGCCAAAGGATTCCAGATTATCTGGCAAAACTTAATTTCTACGGGTAATTCAAATTTTGCTCTGCAATCAGAACTCAAAGGCTTATTCCTGTAAATCTGGTTAATGCTGGTACTACTTTTATGCTACTGATGCTGCACCACTAAAGCCATACTAAACTGCCTGCCTGAAACTGTTTACTAAAGCAATAGAGCATCAATTCTGCCTTGCAAGTAACAGGTTTGGAACAACGCAGAGAAAGTAAAAAAATAAACAGGTAACAAAGAAATGAAGCCAAGGGACTATCTCAAGCAAGTTTCAGAAGGCTGTATTCCTACCTGCTCCCTGAGCCTTGTGTGTGTATTGGCTGTCCCTGATGTAGTCTGTACTTTTGCCTTGGCCTAGGATGGAGAATGAGTTTGTAGGTAGGAGAATTAGACCAGTACATTTAATGCAAATTACACAAACGCACCAAGTCTGGGGACACAGCTGTGCTGGGCTGACTGTAGAAGGGGTCTTTGGAGATAGGGGAGCCTGAATGAATTCTGCGTCCCCCTCAGTAGTGTTTGTGTGCTTGTGTTGCTGCCTCTGTGTTTATGTTCTGATTAAAAAAAAGTAAGGGGAGGTTCCAAGACGAAGCTTTTGGTAGGAGGAATTACAATGCTTGAGGTCCTGTGCTCTGAACACCCTCATTCCCTGAGGGCAGCCAGTGATTCTTAAACTCTGTTTCAGAGCACTTCACTCAGGCCAGATAAGAAATAAGGACTGCGGGAAGGTTTCACCTCTGGTCAAGTGCAGTCAGTGACTGCTTCTGGAGCCACAGACTCTGTCTGAGATTCAAGTGATTCCTAATTCCTAATCAAGTGATTCCTTCAAGTGATTCCTAATACACCCCTTCTTCGGGCTGAAGGCAATGTCTGGATCACATGGAGCTATATGTGACTAAATTTTTATAGCACATCTTTATAGCTGCTTTTGGCTAAGGTAGAGTTAGGTAACTGGTCTGGGGCTAGGGTTTGTATTTGTGCTGAAAACAGTGTTGATGATTCAGTGCTTGCACAGAGCCGAGGCCTTTTCTGCTCCTCACACCACCCAACCAGTGAGTAGGCTGGGGGTGCACAAGGAGTTGGGAGGGAACACAGCTGGGACAGCTGACCCCAGCTGGCTACAATGATATTCCATACCAGATGATGTTGTGCGCATCATGTAAAGCTGAGGGAAGAAGAAAAAGGGGAGCACGTTTATAAAACTAGGGGAAGAATAAGAAAGCAGGGGAACATTCAGAGTGATGGCTTTTGTCTTCCCAAGTAACCATTGCATGTGATGGAGTCCTGCTTTCCTGGAGATGGCTGAACACATGCCTGTGATGGGAAGTGGTGAGTGAATTCCTTGTTTTCTTTGCTTGCACACATAGCTTTTGCTTTACCTGTTGTCTTTATCTCAATCTCACTTTTACTCTTCAGTTTTCTCCCTCATCTCAATGCAGGGGCAATGAGTGAGTGGCTGTGGGCTCAGCTGCTGGTAAGGTTAAACCATAACCACTCTAATGGCATATAAACCTCCAGGAGTCAGGTCTGGCTGTGTTTGTTCCCCTCTGCAGCTGTGTTTGGTGCAGTTTGTCTTTGTGCTGTGCTGTGCTCAACGAAATCCTACACTGCTTTGCTCCGAGAAGGACCTATGGGTGCAAGTCCCCAAGCTCTCTACAGTGCAGCTCAACCCATCCTGGCCCTTTTCTCCATGCCTGCATGTTCAGTGTCACCCAGGCAGGGGCTCTGCAGTAACCCACCCTCCATGGGGTTTTGCCCTAGACTGAAGATTTCTCCATCTCCCTGCACCAGCAGGGATGACATCCTCCAATGACAAGGTGCACACCTGGCCCCCTTGAATCCTGCAGCCCCTTCCAGGTAACCTTGTTGTAGCAGTTGTAGCATGTAGCCATGTGGGAGGAAGGGGAGATTAGAAGAAGGAGAAACCCACAAAACCTAGGATGAAACCCTGCAGAAGGGGATCACCCAGCACCTCTGCAGGGGGCAAGGGCCAGATGTCTTCCTCTGGCCCGATTCTGAGCAGGTCCTGGAGTAGGCCTGGTTATGGAACCAGGAAAACACCAGCAACAGCCCAATGTCCTGCCAGGCACCCAACAGACAGCCCCAAGGTAAACTAAACTCACCTCAGCAATGCCTGTGAAACCTACAGTGGCTGAGGGTGTGCTGCTGTATCACTGGAATTTCGGAGATGAGTTTTGATTCTCTGTATCCAAACCCTACGCCTGGAACCCCCGAGATAGTGCGCGGGAGCCGTGGGTCCGTCTGGGGAGCACGACGGCCCCCGGGCCTGGTGCTCACCCACGGCAGTAGGTGCTTATCCGTAGAGAACATCGTTCCGGCACACCGGCCTCCTAGTCTGGGAAGCGGCAGAGCCACCGGCGCTCCGGCCGGGTCCAGCGGTTGGGCTTGGAGAGGCAGGGAGCAGAGCAGGCGGCAGGGGAGGTGGGTCCAGGAGGTTGGGTATTTCCCCCTGTCCCTCCGACACCGCTGGCCTCGACCTAGAGAAGGGCGGCCAGGCCGCTCCGGCAAAAGCCGCGACTCCGCCCCGGAGTAGGGGCCTCCGGTCTGGGCAGCCCCCCTCGCCCACTCCCAGGGCTGCGCGACCCCCGGGGCGGGCCGTCTGCGCCTGCCCCCCCTTATCCTCCCTCCCCTCCCCGGCGCATATAGCCGCGGGGTCAGCCCACTCTCCCCGACGGCGCCGGGCGGCGGACAGTACCGATCGGCTGCTCCTGCGCCTCTATCCCACCCCGCAGCGGCACCCCCAGATACACCCGGGTGTCTGCCTCTCCGCTTCCCGACAGCTCGCTCCCTACCTTCTTCCTTTCCCGCCCCGCCCCGACATGGCTCTGTACCTGGCCGGCGAGCTTGTCCCCGGAGACTACAGAGACGAGCTCGGGACTGCCTACTACCTCCCTTTCCACCCTCCCGCCCAGTACTTCGAAACGGCCCCCGACTTCTTCCAGCCCCTAAAATCCCTGGGTGGGATGCTCCCCGCCTCCCCGCCTTTGCCCCAGTACAGCTTCAGCAGGGCCCCCACTTTTCTGAGCCAGCCGCCCCCCCTGCCCGCAGAGCCCTTTCCCGGTCTCCCTTTGCCCCACTACACCAAGCCGCAGGACCCCTTCTCTCCCAAGGAAGACTCGCTCGTCGGGGCAGGGGCCCTTGGCTCGCCGGCACAGCTCTACCTGAGCCCCCCGCACAAGGCTGCCCGCAGCCCGGAGGCCGGAGCGCCGGAGGGACAGAACCACAGGTACCACTTCACCGAGGAGGAGCTCAACACGGTGCTGTACGGGGCGCTCCGGAGCAGTCAGCTGGCCGGGAGCATCCACGCCATCTCGGGGCCCCGGTTGCCCCCTGCCAGCACGGGTAAGGGGGTCCCCGGCTTGTGCGCAAGGGGCTGCCTGCGCAAGAGAGCCACCGAGGAGCAACAGGGCGGAAGGTCGTTCCTTGCGGCCGGGTGTACGGTGGGGTCTGGGGACAGTCCCCAGAGTGGGGTGCGGGTGGTCCCGCCGGAGCCATGCCCACCGGACATCGCCGAGGGCACCTCGGGCTTCATTTCCCCGTAGTTTTCTTGCATTACGAGCCCACGCCGGGAAAAAACGGGAGTGATTCGGGCTTCGGACGCCGTCGGGCCCAGCAGGACCCACTCCCCCTGCCCCTCTGCAGCTGCACTGCCGGCTGAAGAAGGGGTCCCTCTTCTGCAGGTGCTGCGGACTCCTTCTCTGGAGGTGCTGCGCAGTTCTCCTACGCCCCGCTGCTCAACAGGGACTCGCTGCAGATGCCGGAAGGTAGGGGCCCGGCGCTGCCAGCGCCCCGCTCCGCGCCCAGCAGTGGCCAAGCCGCGCTCAGCGCGCCCTGTTCCCCGCAGGGCTTTCGGTGCTGCAGGTGGAGTACGGGGACTTGTCTCAGGTCGGAGTCTTCTGCACAGACCCCATCCCTAAAGGAGTCCGCTTCGGCCCTTTCCAAGGCAAAGTGGTCAGCATCAGCGAGATCAAGATTTACGACGACAACTCGCTGATGTGGGAGGTAGTGGAGGCACCTCTGGGCTCGGCCGCCCCACTTCCTTAGCCTGCGAGAGGGGCTCGGCCCGGTGCGGGGGGTGGATCGGTGCGAGCGGGACATGTGCGGGAAGGAAGGATCGGTCAAACTTGATCGGGTTCTCCCTGCTCTCCAGATCTTTGAATGCGGTCGCCTGAGCCACTTCATAGACGGGAAAGGTGCCTCTGGCAACTGGATGTCTCTGGTGAACTGTGCCAGGTTCCCCGAGGAGCAGAACTTGACAGCTATCCAGTGCGAGGGGCAAATATTCTACGAGAGCTGCAAGGAAATCTTGCCGAAGCAGGAGCTCCTGGTGTGGTACGGAGATTGCTACGTGCAGTTCCTGGGCATCCCGATCAGCCTGAAGGACGGGGAGGAGCGGAAGAAGCATCCGGAGGACCCTGAAGGTGAGCCTGCCAGCCCCTCATGCCCATGGTCCTGCGTCTGGCCGGGGGTAGGCTCGCACGAAGGGAGGTAAAGGAACTGGGACACCACCTTTTTCCATCTATGTTTTACTTCAAACGCTCCCCAGTCCTTGCGGTGGGCCAGTGTCAGGGTGCCCGGGCCTGCCTGCCCCTTCTCTTCCCTGCAACCCCAGTATCTCAGAGCAGCAGCTTCCCCTCGGCACCGGGGACCGCACCGACGGCTTCTGCCAGCTCGGTGCAAAATTCTCCTCGTTCGCCTTTCCTCGGGGAACTGAAATTGTTCGCCCGACGCCTGTAAAACACCGGGTGGTGCGGGGCTGGGCCGCCCTCGGCTCCGCATAAGGGAAGGGGGCACGCGTTTTGAGATGAGAGGGACTTTTAAGCGGCATTCTGGTTTTGGTCCTGTTTTATCTTACGATCGCACATGCCTGCTTTTATTATGTTTTTCGTGCAATTAACACTCAGTAAATGTGGCAGGCAGAAGTCGTTGAGATCCAATAATGCCGGTATGGCTTGCAGATCAAATGTCAAACACGCTTATTCCCGGAATAACTGTTTATAATGCGCAAAAAAATAAATGTCCTTCTTATAAGCAAAGCTTATGTACGGGGAAAACGGGTGTATGCCAGCGCAGGGCAGGCTGGAGTGGGAGAGGTGCCACAGTGAGGCAGAGAACTAGACTGGCACGGGAATTCAGCAATGTTGTCTTCAGGTGCCTGGTTCAGGTAAATCGTTCGTTTCATTTTAAGACTTAAGCCAAAGCTGCTTTAACGGCAGAAAAGGATGCTTGAGCGTTTGAAAAATATCCTGTCACTGTTGTTCCAAATTCAGTGGTTGAGAACATTGTTAAATACAAAAGAAAACCAAATAAATGTGGTTTTGTCCGGCAGCATTTTAAAAACCATCTAGAAAAACTGTGCAAGTTTATTTTTCTTTTGGGGACAGGACCTGAAATTTACGGACAATGTTAGTATGAGATACCTGGCAGTGTTTCTGTGTGGGGAGATACTTTTGCATGCGACTTTGAGTTGTTTTTTCACATTTTCTCCCTGTTTTGGGAGAACCAAGGATGAGCCCCTGTCCTTGCTGTAGTCAGTAGCTAAACCCGGTGATTTTACCAGGCTGTGGGCTGCAGTTTACTCCCCCCCGTTAGAAAGGTAATAGGCAAGTGAAGCAGTGAGAACCGATGGGTATTTTGTTAATGGTTTTGCCAGAATCCATTTACCCTTAATGTCCTCCCAATAAGTTGGGAATTTTAAATTGGGACTTATAATTCCCAACTCGGTACCAGCTCTGGGAATGCAGCAGGTTTGAAAGGAGCTCCTGGTGCTGCGATGTAACTCCGTGGTGGCCCTTTCCCTTCTCCCGTACAGAAGCCGGGGAAAGCTTTAAGTGCGACCGCTGCGGCAAGGTTTTTGCCTACAAGTACTACCGGGACAAGCACCTCAAGTACACCCGCTGTGTGGACCAGGGGGACCGCAAATTTCCTTGTAACCTCTGCAACCGATCCTTTGAAAAAAGAGACAGGCTGAGGATCCATGTTCTCCACGTTCATGAAAGACATCGACCTCACAAGGTGAGCCTGCCCCTGGGTCACTCCGCAGGTACTGGCTCTTTTGAGGGGACTAATTACGGAGTCTTTTTTGGCTGAGGGTAGGATGCTGGTGGTCTCCCTCCTCCAGTTGCCCTGGCAGCTCTCTGGAAGGACCACTTTGCCTGTACAGGAGGAGTTTATCCTGTGCAGCAGAGCTTAGTTAAAGAAATTTGATGGATTTAAATTGGGGAAATAAACCCCACAGTCTCAGCGAGACCTTTAAAAGAAACTATTTCTTTTGAGCTCTTTGGATGTTTGCCTGTGGGTTTTGCTACTTTTCTGACGTGGTGTGGTGTTAACTTGTGTTTGAAGGTACTCCACTTGTCCTGGATCTGAGGAGATGATGTCTCCTATCCCTCATTCCCTCCGTTCAGCCTGAGAACCAACAGACTTCTGTGTCTGTTAAACAAAACAGGAGCTAAAAGGTTTACAGTCAATGGAGAGCAGATTTTCAATTTATGGAAACAAATAATTGCTGAGATACTTTCCTCATCGGTGCCAAACACCTCTCTACAGCATCAGTTTTCTCTATGATCACTGGGGGTGGAAAACCAGACTTCCTGAAGGCCTAGGAACATCAAGTTCCAGTGCTTGAAATGGGCCTGAAAAAATCCTCAAAATACCTATTAGATAATCTTGCAGTAATGTAAACTTTTCAGGGAAAACTTTTTTCAACTAAATCAACAATATTACAATGTCAGAACATCAGAATGATTTAGTTACAGGTGAAAAATATTCTATTAAATATGAGGCATTGAATACCATCTAATTCTTATTAATTTCATTTCCTAGAGCATTTGTTTTGAAATGCATATGAAATAAATACTTTAGAACAGCAGTAGGATAAAACTTACTCTGAATATATCACATTTATATGAGAATGATCAACTCAAAAAAGCAGAGATGGAAAATGTCAGTAAAAAATAAGCACCTTCTTTCAAGATCAGTCATAGCTTAGTTTACTTTGAACTTCTGAAAGATAATTTCTTTCCAATTATTGTAGGGAGAAATTGGTTTGGGGCTCTTATAAATTGCACTGAATCAGTGCAAGTCTCTCAAGTGACTCTTGTGAATTGGTTTTGCCCTGCTGGCTGCTGCGCAGCAGCTTGAGGATGCTACTTGTTTCACTCCTGCCAAGAGGCACTTCTGACAGGTCAAGCTGTAGGCTTAAGTGTGACCGACTCCCCATTTCTGAAAAATAAATGGTATTGTTTTAAGATTTAGTTCTAAGATTTATTATAAGATTACTTTAATATTTTTAGTTTAAAATTAAAAGTAACAGCTGGAGCTTGATTTACATTCTGAAGAAAGTGATTTTACAGAAATGCTTGATTTTGATTACTGTAAGTCAGTATTGTCTTGTTTGTGTTCTGAAGCACGATTTTAAATGAAACCATTTTAATAGCACAAAAAAGGTTTGACATTTTGCATGTTTTTTTTCTTTTTTTTTTTAAAAAAAAAGAAAAGTTCTTAGAACCAGATAAAAATTCTGACTGTATTTGAAATTGTTACTGCTTAAATTACTAGTGTGTGTATATGGATACATCCATATACATGGATATATGTATATAGATAAATACATATAAAAATATATAGGAAAATACATGCACATACTCTATATACCTATTTTTTCTTTTGAACTATGCTGTTTTGTGCTTCTTTTTAACATTATCCATTTTTTCTTTCCCAGTGCTCAGAGTGTGGAAAGAGCTTTTCTCAGTCCTCCAGCCTGAGCAAACACATGAGGGTTCACTCTGGGGAACGCCCCTACAAATGTGTGTACTGCAACAAGGTAAGGCAAAGCCCCATTTGTGCTCTGCTGCATCCCCCTGTCCTCTGCCATGCTTAGCAACACACTGGACCTGCAGGGAGGTGACTCTTTCCATGCTCAATTTCATTTTTTACAGGTTATTTTTCTGCTTATTTTCTGTTTTCTTTCAAGAAAATGTCTTCTATTTAAGTTGACAACCAGATAAGTTGACTGTATTCTGGGCACAGTTGTGAGCTGAAGTGACAGGGCTGGCTCAGACTGAAGAAACATGTTCTGGTCTCCTTCTGTTGTGGAATTTGTGTTTCATTCTAGCTGAGAGAATTGCTGTGGGAAAGGATGTAGGAAAGCTTGAGAGCATTTCGATTGCCATCCAAGGCATACAGATAGATGCAGTATTCCCCTTTCTCATCAGATAGGTAGGTTTTGATATTACTGGCATTGTTTCTGGAGTGCAGTGAATAGATTTGCCCCATAAGCTGAACCTGCATGATACAACTGTGTATGCTTGAAGTAACAGGGCCATTGATGTGCAACTGGACATGGAGGTTTGATTAAAAAAGAACATGAGTAAAGTCATAAAGCACTGATCAAAAATGTGCCTAGCTGTGATGCTCACAGCAGGGATGATTCAGATGAGCTCTTCCAGTGTGAGAAGTGACAGCTTTCCCAACAGACAGAAGGTGGATGAACATACATGCTGCTGAGGGTGAAAATAGATAGGGCTCCAGGTGCTATGGGAGTGTCCATGCAATGCAGAAGCACTGTTGTCATGTAGCAAGGTCCTCCTGATCTTGGAGAAAGAGAAGTTTTGTTAATGACTGGCTGGACTAACACAGAGCAGAAGTGTCCTGTACTTAAAGAAGATCCCTTTAGCTATTGCATTTCTTTCTCTCCTAGACACCCTAAACACTTGTAGGCAGAGTTTAAGATTAAATGTCATCCTTTAATCTTCTGATCACAGGGAGAGGTGGCAAAGCTTTACAGACTGCTCTCTGAACAGATCCCTTAAGACACATGGGACCCTTGACCAGCGTGCAGCCATTTTGGTAGACTGTTGCATATTGGATCAAGTTAAACCTTTAGCCCTACAGCTGCAGGATGCTGCAACTATGCTGGGACATAGCCAGCATTTCTGTGACTGGAAAGCCAGGTGCTATTTTAAAGCATCTTCATCTGTGCCTCCTATTGCAGTCATGGTTCCTCTTTGCCTCTTTTACCTCTAATGATGGCTGTACTCCAGCACTGCTTTGCTTTCCTGGGCTCATTATTCATTACCTGGGTGACATTGTGATTAAAGCAAAAGTCTGAGGCAAATATCACCATTCTGTCCCTTAAGCATACTTTGGCCCTCTCAATATACACCTTCAGGGACTTTTATATAGGAATCACAGATCTGTTTGAGCTCTAAGGTTCTTAGTGAAACAGTATCTGACATGTATTGCTCTATGCTGTGAAAACTTGTGATGGTTCAGCAACATAATGGTACTAAAGAGGATTTATTTTGTGTGGTCTGCAAACAGTGAGGGGCCTGGAAGTGTCTCTCTTGGAGGAAAACAGGGGGAAACACTCAAAACTTTGCAGGATTCCTGCTCCAGTCTTGGCGAGAGGGTTTTCTCCCCAGATAGAAAACGAGCCTTTACAAGGGGAACAGAGTGTAGCTGTGCGCACTTTGCTCCTCAGGTGTGTGTGGGGAACCAGGCTGGAAGGCCTGAGTGAAGGAAGAGCAGAGTATGATGGAAAATGAAACCTCAAAAGATGGATGCTGAATTGCATGAATGAATTCTGGCACCTGAATCCCCAGGTGCCCAGAGTATGTGAATACAGATCTGACTTTGAAAATAAAAACTGGAAGGAAAAGCTGCATTATTTTCTCCAAACATAAAGGAGCTGCAAAGCTAATTAGAACAGTATTGACTTCTCACCCCTTGACATGTAGAAGATACTTATTGGTGCATCTGGTCAGAAATCTTTCTCTGAGATTCATCTAATTCCATGGACTCAGCCACATCTATATAGCGATAGCTGTTGGCTTCTGGTTCCTTGTTGCTGTGAGGTTGGGTTTTTTACCTTAAGTTATCTGAGAATGTTATTTGTGGACTTAATTTCAGAGTACAGTTCTTCTGATGGGCCTGGATTAGCTGAACCTGGGAAATACGTATGTGAAAATGGATTACTTTCAACTCCTTACCTTTTCAGGCATTCACGGCGTCCAGCATCCTGCGCACTCACATCCGCCAGCACTCAGGAGAGAAGCCCTTCAAGTGCAAGTACTGCGGCAAAGTCTTTGCCTCACACGCAGCCCACGACAGCCATGTGAGGCGCATGCACAGCAAGGAGGAGTGCACTTGCTCCGTGTGCGGCGTGCACTTCCTGGGGCAGGAGGATTACCAAGTCCACCTGAAGATGCATGATGCTTATTAGTCAAGAACCCTGTGGACATGTCTTGAGCCAGCTTATGTGTGTATCTGTCTATATGTGTATGTGTTTGTTCATAGTTTTGTGCACATCGCAGGAGGTGACCCTTACCCTCATAGTGACTCTTTGGGTACATTCAGTCCTCTGGACCCTGGGCATAGTTTCTCACCTGGGTGCACTGATGCCACCCTGGACTGGGGTAAAATCCAAGACATGCTACCCCACCTTCCCCTTCTCTCCTCCCATACATTAATTTTCTCAACAGAGAAACGCAGAGAGGAGGAATTTCACCTCCCACGAACCTTTTGTGCACAAATACCACTGTGGAGAGTGTTTCCATGTCTCTAATGTACCACATCTGTGGACTGCCTGGTGCAATGCATACCAAAACTTGTGTGAGGGATGATTTTAACGAGTGCATTTCCCAAAGCCAATTTAACCTCTTTGTTTTGTTAGGATGCATGACCAAGTATGGGGTCTACTTCACCTTAACCTGCAAGTCTTTTATGTTGCTCTATTTAAATGTGAACTGCTTCAAAGATACTGACTACTACACCAGCATTAGGGGTATTTAATTCCTTCATTCAGCTGCTGGACACTGGGAGCTCCAGGGCATTGAGACCCCCTCTTCTAGAGGATGTTGATTGGCCATGAGGGAGAGGAGCAGGGTGTGATGAGTAGCTGCCAGTTAGCAGAGATATTGCAGGTTGGCTTTGCCTTCTCACAGGTGAGAGGACCAAATGTGAAGATAGTCCCAACCATCAATGAGTGCTCAGGTGGGTCATAAGCAGTTGAGTGGCCTCATAGAAATGTTTCATTCTGGGCCCATGTGGGCCTTTGTTAAAAATCTTTAACAAAATAGCATTCCCTGGCAATGTGAAATATGAACTTGACGGAGGCTTAGCAAAAAGCTGGAAGCATCACTGAGTATAGAGTGTGCTGTAATTAGCGCAGAAGTCTACTTTATCACTGAGTGGCCAGCATAATTCGCAGGGGGCTGTACATTCAAGAGGGGCTCCCAGTGTCAGTGGGACTTTGTGTGTCATCCAGGGGGGATAATGGAAGCCCTTGCTGGAGTTGGTTGATTAGCACAGGTAGCTTGATGTTACTGAGATAATGAGATTCCCTTTTAATATCCTAGATCTGCTAGGATTTAACAAGGACTTTGCACATAAGAGAGAAATTTTATTTTGTGCCAACCTTAACAACCTCTTTGAATACAGCATAGAACTAGGAAACAAGTTACCTGCGCATTTAATTGTACTGTGTAGATAATGTTGATTTGCACTCTTTCTTATGCAGTTTTTATTGTAACTTAAGTTTCTCTGTCCTCATTGTTTTCCTGGTAAAAATATTAAAATATTTACAGAACCACCTACTTGTAAGTAAAATACTGAGCGCAAGGAATGGCTTCAAGGTGCTATGAATTGCAGTGTTAGCTTCCCAAGCAGGTAATTTCCTTGTTTCTTGCGAATGAGGGTTATTTAAGTGGTGTATCTTTTGTAGTGCATTTACTTCTGCTTGAAGAACTCCAGATATCTTGTACTAGAATATTAGTACCCTTCTTCAGTATTTGATGAGTTGCCTGTAAAAAAAGAGTATGTGGTTTTGCTTGTACATGTGATTGAAGGTACTGGTTATCTTGCACATTAAACCTGTATATATAAATTTTGATTTTTTGTAAGATTATTACAATTACCTTTATGCAAAAGTTGAAAATAAATTATTGGAAGCTATAGCATACGTCATTGGGCTATAGGTTGTTTCCTGCCAGATGTATTGGAGTTGTGTATTTGAGATAGTAGCAAACGGATGAAGGGTGTTTTATGCATCATTTGTAAGTCATTACAGAGTCAAACTGTCTCTTAGTGGGAATTCTAGCCCTTGTCCCGCTGTGTAGCAGCTGACTGCATTAGAAGTCAAAGGCACCCAGTGTCTTGATGGATTGGGCCTTAAGTGTTCCAATAGTTCATGGAAGCTGAAGCCATTCAGCTCTGGATTGAGCTCACTCCCACTTGCAAGCAAGATGATGGATCCGGATTGAGCACTAAAAAAGGCATTCAACTACCCTGTAGCATTTAACTACCCTATAACACCATCCTCTCCCTTCTCAATAGCGAGTCCCAGCTGTGCTGCGGGGCCCTGGGGCTGCTACTTGGCCAGCAGCACACTTCACAGCGGGGTGGGGAGAAATTTAGCAGCAGGAAGCGGGAGGGAGGGCAGGCTGAGTTCTGCCAGCCGGAGCAGATTTTAGTCTCCTGCGAGGAAAATGCAGTGATTGTCAGTGAAAACATATCGCTGCCCTTGCTGAGCAGGGTTTAGGAGAGTTTAGATTTAGATTAAGGAATGCTCCTGTGGCGTGCACGAACCCGGAGTGTGCCCACAAACTGAGGTTTTCCTCCGGGGATTTGCACATTTGCTTGCACTTCTATGGCCCTGCTGGCAGCGGCCTCATGAATGAGCAGCTCAGCCAGGAGCAGGGTTTCAGGCATTTACTCACAAACAGAAAATAGAGGGGGTGGGGTGTGTGTGCACACTGCGCTTTCCCATCATTCATGTTCCTAGGCTGACTGCACAGCACAGGAGGCCATGTGCATTAAGGAGCCTGCCTTGCAAGTTCCACTAAAGGGAGAATATTTGTGACCAAGTAAACTGTAAGGGCTCAGTCCTTTCACTGGGAAGCCCCAGCTGTAGGTTCCTCCTGAGCAGACACCATGATACTCAGTAATGGTGCCTGCTGGTCATTTCTGAGCTGAGGATGCAGAAAGCAGGCTATCCCTGCAGCTTTCTGCAGGCTGTACTAGATCCACCTCTTGCATTTCTTAGTATCAACTATGGGCCATTTATTTTCCATGACAGTGACTGTAGTAACGCTCTAAGTGAAATAGGTACCCATATTACTCACTCAGTTTTGCTTAAACTGGCTGTAGATTGGCTTCCCTGGCTGAGGGCTCAATTATCACTGCATTTTCCAAGGCAAAGGATTATAGAAACTACCTGGCTGTGCACCCTGGCTCTTCTTTCCCTTAACTAGGACTAAACATGGTGCTGCCAAGGGGAGCAGCAGGTCAAGTCTGTTGGGACAAACCAGTCCTGTAAGACACTAGCTGACTTTTGAATTCTTTGCATTAACTGTGTCAGGGTTTTTTAAATGTGAAGTGGAGAGTGGTCTAAATAGAAACCAGAGGGTGAGGGCAGTTGCTGTTTGATTTCGGTGCTGGGTAGACAGATGAGCCTCTGTGGGGCTAACTCCTGAAAAGCCCCTCCTTAGTGAATGACAATGGCGAGACAAAAACAAAAGGGTGGTCCCAGAGCTCAGGCTGGGGAGTTAGAGGGAACAAAAGTTCTGGCCACTGACATCTGCTGCCTCCTGCATCTCCAGCATCTCCCTGCATCTCCTGCATCTCCCAGCTCTTCAAACACCTGGTCCCCATCCCTCTGCCACCCCAACCCCTGTCCCTGCTGTACTCCCGGGGATTCGAGGAAGAGGGAGGTGGTTAACCACTGAGGGAAGGGTAAAGCAAGGAACTTAGTGAGTTGAAGATAATGCCACAAACACATCTATTGATTAGTGCCCAACTGTCCATTAAACAAGAGAGATCATTCACCAGGGAAGCCCTGACTGGCTGTCCCTTCCTTCAGAAAGCCATTTCTCGGGGCCCCCAGTCTCCTACATGCCTCTGCAGCAAGCTTTGGTGTTTGTTTCACCCTTATGGACTCATTCACATTAATTTGCCCTTCTTTCCTCATGCATACATATCCCATTGTATCTTCTCCGTTCTGGCTTTCCCTAATGTGCATAGTGTAAGGGCCTTGGGCATATGAAGGGTATCAGGAGATGTGGGATTTGCTCTCTGCTTTCCTTCTTTTCTGACCTCATGTAAAATACATCCAGATCTTCAGTGGGACCAGCAGCTGCCTCTGTTTTTATGGTGTTTAACTCAAGTTTTAAAAAGGCTTAATGCCACTTTTTCTGAAAAGCCAAGTCCCACCAAGGTGTGGGGTGTTGGCAGCTGGGGGGTATGTGGGACAGAAGAGAGTATCACGGCATCTCTGCCTCTCCTACAGCAGAACTCAAGCAGCTCTGTTCCATCTCCATCCCCAGCAGGGCATTCTGCAGCAGCTCTTGCTGTAGGGATTGTTCTGGAAATCACAGTTTAGCTGCATTGCAGCAATGACAAACAAGGCTTAAATTCACAGGACTGACTTCTGGTTAGCCCAGCAATTTAGTAGAGAGCACTGTTGCATGCCTTAGTGTGAGAATGCCAGTAGGAGACACCTTGGTCATTAATAGAAATGCAGTAGCAGAGAAAATGTCCTTTGTCTATCAAAGAAGGGGAAAAGGATGAATTCTTGGGTTCTACTGGCCAAAAATGCAATTCACAGGTAATCCCTGAAGTGAAATCAGTCTGTGGAGCCCCTTCTTAGGGAGAAATGGTCAAGTCCATCCTTTTCTTAATCCAGGTGAAGTCGGTGACATTCCCTCTTGGCCTTGCATGGTTTCGGGGCACTGATCCAGCACAGTGGTGGTGGAGATGTGGTGGCAGGCTGCTCTCCAGAGTTTTGCTTTCCCACAAGTGAGCCCATGGCAGTAGCCAGGGTAGCCCCACAGCTGGAGAGTGCTGACAGCCAGCCGAGGGATTACCTGTATCGATTCTCTAATAGCTGTCAAGGTGGAGGGAAACACTACTCTGCCACAAGTGGAGCTCTTAGCTGAGTGGGAGCATAAACACCCCATTAAAGGCTTCATTCAATAGCAATCTTTGCTCAAGTAAATGGACAACAGCTCCCCACCCCCAGTCCCTAATGCAAGAGCCATTACGGAGCAGGAAGGCAGCACACAAGAATATGTATTTCTGTAGTATCAGTTTCACCATCAGACTGAAACGACTCTTTTAATGAAAAGTGGATTTTTTTTTCTTTCTTTTTTTTACAGGGATGTGAAAACCCCAAGGAAATAACCAAAGAGGAATCCATTCACTTTCTTGAACCAACCCATACCTGATATGTGGCAGTTTCCCACTGATGTACCCATCAGCAAATGGGAATGCAGGCTGGCAACATCATGCTCTTGATGCTACTGGAGATGGGTAAGACAGGAACAGTGGGTGCTGGAGACAGCAGTGCTGGAGATAGTGCTGAAGGACACTGATGAGCTTGGGGGCTTTCCCCTCCATAAGCCATGTGCAGTGCTGAAAGAGAGACAGTTCTGCCCTGGAAGGCAGC